TTTCCCCAGATAATCTGCTCAGGAAGATAGAACTTACCTTCAATAATTTTCCTGATAAAGAAGCCATTTTACGAGCGTTAAGAACAGAAGTGGGCGATGAAGTGGATATCAGCATAAGCAACAAAGAGGAAGAATTTGAGAAGATACGTTAGGCAATATGGACGGTCCCACCAGGTCTAACGCTAATGATGATTTTTGCTTTAACTGGTCATTTGAAAATAGTTAGGTATTCTTTCATTGAAAGGAAGTTTCACTTCAAAACTTCGACCCTAGATGACTGCCCTTTAGGTAAGATTTATAAAGTTGAACAAAAAAGTAAAAAGTTTATATTTTAGCCAATATTTTTGAAAATGGAACCGTGCATATCTCCATATTGGAACATTAAGAAGGGGAAATCATAGCCATTGAAAATGCCGCACTCAACTTTGTATTCTAAAAATTCTTAATAAAACAATCTTAAACCAAATCTCTTTTCGAGAAGTGCTGCAAATCAAATAATTTCAAATAATTTTCTAACAATTAGTTTGATTTATCTTTTGTTGACGGAAACTAACGAATCAAAACTTCTTTCTGCCATTGTGATTCTCCAACTGCTATATGGTGATGGCTGACTCAGAATTCCCCACCTTAAAGATTTTGCTGCTTCCATTGGATGTGTTAGAGTTGGTGTTTACGTATATTCCAACTGTCAATTTATTGTCATACGATATCCCAATAATAAACCTGATATTGCAACATGCCTTAAGAGAACGAGAGATCATATGTTATATAAGTATATATTCTTACAGCGTATTCAGACCAGCGTTTGATAAAGTTACCCTGTGGAGGAAAGAACCAATTGGAGACGAAGCAAGGTTGAAAAAACAACAAGAGTTAGACGCTCGTGAAGAAAACCATATCCAATTTGGTCAACCTGATGGTGTAGAACGCTTTCTAAATTTCATGAAGATGCACCCAAGTTTAAAACCAAAAATAGTTATCGACGGAATCAGTATTTTAAATCAGTTGCTTGTTGAAAATCCATCGTGTCTTGAAAATGTCCGGAGCATATCACTTCAGAAACGTGGCAACGATGATGAAGCAAAGCTCTTAGAGATGGTCTTTAGTTGCCCTTATCCCATCGACAGTATTGATGCATTGGATACACTTAATGGACGTAAACTCCCACCATCAGTTCGACTGTTGCATCTAAATAATTTTCCAGAATACGACACTCCTCAACTTTCGACCTTGAGAGAAAGTGACTTAACATCACTAAATCTAGAGTCACTAATTGTGGTTAACGATCTTAAGTATCTACCAAAAGGTTTGAAGACGCTCCAAATTATTTTGAAGTTGGATTGGCCAATTTGCACTCCTACCCTACCTGTAACACTAGAACACCTCAAAATTCTGTGTGAGAATTCTAATGAACTTAAAGAACTTAATCTTTCGAATCTTAAAAAATTGAAGCTATTACATCTACGTAGATTTAACGTACACAAGCTCACAGCATTGAAAGCTTCTAACGAGATTGAAGAGATGGATATCACAACAGGTAAATTGGAATCCTTGGAAAGTATAGAGAGATATACCATGCTTAAAGAATTTCTGCTATTATTCTTTTGTCTAAGAGATCCATCAATCTTGGATTCATGTTTACCGGATTCCTTGAAAACCCTATCTGTAGAATGGCGTTATTTCGATGAACAATTAGTTTCCAATCTGGTCACTGAAAAAGATCATCCATCAAAAGTCAAACTACCTTCGAACCTCACAAGACTTAGTATTTCCGCAGTCGCGCCTTCGGTTTGTCAAAAGGAATGGGAATTCCCTATATCATTAAGAATACTTTCAATGACAGTACCCGTTTTACCAAAGAGATTTCAGCTTCCGTCAAACTTGATAGCGTTAGATATTGGACGGTGTAAGAAAGGTTGCTTACCACTTCCTTTACCCAAGCTGTTGATTCGGCTACGTACATCCGTGCCACCAGCAAACAAGTCATGTTTGAGACGGTTGAAGAATTTAACTTATCTTCGATTTGACTTTGAAGGAAATGGGATGAATAAATTTGAATGGAAGTTGCCTTCTAGCTTAAGAAAATTAAAAGTTCATCAGAGTTGGATCACTGATTTAAAATTAAATTTGCCAAAACTAAAAGCCGTTGAGTTGAATTTAGAAACCACTAGTGATTTGAAAGTATTCAAACTACCTAATACGGTGGAATATTTGAGATTACTTGGATCGTCACCCGATGATCATACTAAATTGTCCATCTCACAACAAGTTCTACTTCCCACCAAATTGAGGAGTCTTCATATTAGGTTCCATTCTTTGTATCCTAATTCACTTCCAGATTTACGTTTGAATACTTATAAAGATTTGTGGTATCTTCATCTACATGCCTGTAAAATCAGTAAACTTGAAGATGGAGCATTCCCCAATTCCATAGAGGTCTTGAATCTTCTGGATAATCCTTTGAGAGAAATAGATCCCTGCGTATTCAAGAAGCTACCCAATCTACACTTCCTTTTCCTAACAACTTGCCCGCTAGGTAAATTAACTCTAGAACATCCTTTGGAGTTCTCAAGCTCCTTAAAGTATCTAAATCTCGCGGATACCGATCTTGAAGATATTGACAGATTCAAGATTTCCCCAGATAATCTGCTCATGAAGATAGAACTTACCTTCAATAATTTCCCTGACAAAGAAGCCATTTTACAAGCGTTAAGAACAGAAGTGGGCCATGAGGTGGATATCGAAATTAGCAACAAGGAGGAAGAAGATGATAAGCCATATTATCCGTACTAACGTTGCTTATACCTTTTGCTTCCCTGCTCTCAAACGCTGATGATATCTATATAGTTAGGTATTCTTTGGTCGAAAGCCATCTGTTTGCTTCCATAGATCGAACTAGATCTATATTCGAAAATTAAGAAGGGAAAAACATAGCTATTACAAATACAGCACTCAAATTTATAAATATTAAAATTCTTCGTAAAATAACCTTAAACAAAAACTCTTTTCTAGGAGAACCACACATTTTTATACTCAAATAATTTCAAATAATTTTCTAACAATTAATTTGATTATCTTTTGTTGCCGGAAACTAACGAATCAAAAGTTCTTTCTATCGGTTGAGTCTCTGCAACTGTCGTGTCGTGATGACTAGCTCAGAGATCCCAGTTTTAAAGATTTTACTGCTTCCTTTGGAGGTCTTAGACTTGGTGTTTACGTATATTCCAACTGTCAATTTATTGTCATACGATATTCCAATACTAAGCACGGTTTTGGAAAATGCCTTGAAAGAGCGAGGCATTACCTGTTGGATTGATATACAACCCTTAGGTTTACTCAGATCAGACATGTACGATACGGTTGACCTTTGGAGGAGGGAGCCAATTGGAGACGAAACAATGTTGAAATCGGAATTCGATTTTGACATTAATTGTGGAAGTCACATGTATTTCGGTCAACCAGACGGTATAGAGCGGTTTGCAAATTTCATGACAAAGCATCCAAATGTAAAGCCCGAATTAGTTATTGTCGGGGTTCGAATGATGGAGCAGTTGCACGCTGAATGTCCTTCATGCCTTCGCAATGTCCGAGACGTATCGCTCTGGGAAGGTAATCACGACGACGAGGCAACCTTTTTAGAGATAGTTTCTCGTTTTCCTTATCCCATAGATAGTCTTGTTCCATTTGATAGGCTTGGTGATTTTAGTCTACCGGCATCAGTTCGACTGCTACATATAAATCATTTTCCAGAATTCGACAGTCCTTTAGTATCCGATTTGAGAGAAAGTGACCTAATGTCACTTGAGATTGACTCGCTAGTTGATGCTGATGATCTTAGGTATCTACCAAAGGGATTGAAGAAGCTAGAGATTCTTTTGGAGTTGGATTCGCCAAGTTGCACTCCAGACTTACCTCTGACACTAGAATGTCTCAAAATTCGGTGTAGGAATTCTGCTGAACTCACAGAACTTAATCTTTCAAATCTTAAAAAATTGAAGCAATTGCTGCTAACAAAATTCGACGTACTAAAACTAGCGTCATTGAGCGCTTCTAAGGAGATAGAAAAATTGGATATCTCTAGTGATAGATTAGTATCTTTGGAAAGTATAGAGAGATATACCATGCTCAAAGATCTTCTGCTATTATTTTTCGGTATAGGAGATCAATCAATCTTGGATTCGTCCTTGCCCGTTTCTTTGCAAGTGCTCTCCGTTAATTGGTGGTACACTGACCAGGAACTAGTTTCTAATCTGAACCCGGAGAAATCGACAGTTAATCTACCCTCAAACCTCAAAAGACTTAATATTTCAGCAGATTCGCCCTTGGTTTGTGAAAAGGAATGGGGATTCCCAGCTTCATTAAGAATACTTTCATTAGATGTCCCGATTTTACCAAAGGGGTTTCAAATTCCACCTAACTTGATAACGCTAAGTATTCAGGGTTGTGATCTAGGTTGTTTGCCTCTTCCCTTACCTAAACTGTTGATTCGACTACGTACGTCAGTGCCTCCACCAAACAAATCATACCTAAAACACTCGAAGAATCTAACCTATCTTCGATTTGACTTTACGGGAACGGGGAAAGGGAAGAAGAACGATATATATGCCTTTGCCTGGGAGTTGCCTTCTAGTTTAAGAAAATTAAAAGTTCATCAGAGTTGGATTACGGATTTAAAATTAAATTCGCCAAAGCTAAAAGCTGTTGAGTTGAATTTAGGAACCACTAGTGATTTGAAAGAATTCAAACTACCTAATACGGTGGAAGGCTTGAGATTACTTGGACCATCACCCCATGGTCATTCTAAATTGCCCGTTTCGGAACAAGTCATACTTCCTACACATTTGAAGAGTCTTCATATTAAGTTCCATTCTTTGTATCCTAATTCACTTCCAGATTTACGTTTGAATACTTTTAAAGATTTATGGTATCTTAATCTACATGGCTGCAAAATCAGTAAATTAGAAAATGGAACATTCCCCAACTCCATAGAGGTCTTGAACCTTCTGAATAATCCTTTGGAAGAAATATATCCCTACGTATTCAAGAACCTTCCCAATCTACGCTTCCTTTTCCTAAGAACTTGCTGGCTAGGTCGATTAGCTTTAGAACATCCTTTGGAGTTCTCAAGTTCTTTGAAGTACCTAAATCTTGTGGATAACGAACTTGAAGATATTGACAGATTCAACATCCCCCCAGATAATCTGCTCATGAAGATAGAACTCACCTTCAATAATTTTCCCGACAAAGAAGCCATTTTACAAGCATTAAGAACACAAGTGGGCCACGAAGTCTCCATCGTAATCAACGAAGTGGATTATGTGAATACCGAAAGAAGTGGAAATCAGTGAGCAGGAAAGAAATGAATATCCAAATCAACGAGAAGGAAGGAGATGAAGGGACAGAGGAAGAGGAAGACTAGACGTAGCCAATTCTGGGTGCGTCACCTTTGCTGATAGTTTTGCTGTATTTGCTCTCAAGCGCATATAATTTCTAAATAGTTACGTATTCGTTCATCTAAAACCACCTATTCGTTTCAATAGTTTGAATTAGATAAATCGAAGTATTGGCACATCCAAGATCGAAACCTAAAGCCGTTCCGACAAGATTTACGGCATTGAACTATGGGAATTAGTTTGGACGATAGCTGAGATATCCCGCACCAGCTATTTACCAAACTTCCCTGACAGACCACGGCGACCTCGCCCTTAGCCTAGTGGTCTTTCTCTCTTGTCTTCCATTTAACTAGAAATGTTCAAAGAATAGATTGCCGCAGCCTTTGTATCTCTTGTCCTCACAGAATTTTTTTGGCCCGGTAGTTAACGTGAATTCAATCTGAATTTCCTAGTTACTAACTCATAGATACAATGCATTCCCATTTCCAATTTCAGCCCGGAGAAGACAATAAGCAATTGCTTTCCACATACCAGCACTACCCAGAACTCACCCACAACTCAAAGTAGGAGCGGACAATAAACCATTGATATGGAGCACCGCGTGCAACTTTCCGAGAATCAAAGCACTAACACTTATGATATCATCAATTGTTGCAAAAAAAATTCGGAAGCATGTACCCACCATTATGCGACTACTGTAATATTATGCGCCTATATTTTATGAACCGACATATGGTATGATTTCGGTAAAATATTACGCCGGAGTTCATTTAGTGTTCACAATAACAGTAACAGTAACAGTCCCTCCACCCATTTTTAAGGCTGGTGTTTCATTTTAGCGAAGAAAAAAAAATTAGTAAAGAAAATTTTATTGTTCTTAATTCCCCCAATCATTTTCCCACCATAATTGATTGTTAATCATGTGGGGTAAATTACATACACAAGAAATCAAACGACCAACTGGCCATAGTTTTGCAATCCCGTCAAACAAAACCTTTCCCCACTTAGTTGTATATATATATATACATATCTATCACCAAATCAATCACCTTTCCATTCCAGTGTTCCATAAGATTTAATAAGATAGTTAGAAACAATGGTACTTAGTTTAGAAGAAGTTGCGAAACACAACACAAGAGAAGATTGCTGGGTTATAATCCACAACAAGGCATATGATGTCTCTGGTTTCGTGAATGAACATCCTGGTGGATCGGCAATTATATTGAAATATGCCGGTAAAGATGCTACTAAAGCGTTTGATCCAGTTCATCCTGGTGATACTTTGATTAAATATTTACAACCTGAATGTCATAAAGGAGAAGTTGAAAAGAAGACTAGAAAGAAGAAGGAGAAGTTGGTCGGTGGTCTTCCTACTCCTGAGCCTGAACAACAGCAACAACAAGGTAAGGCTCGTCAAGTTGTGGATGAGTTTGATGTAGAGTATGATGAACAGGATGATATGGATCCAATTCCAGTTCCCAACAATCCAAAACAAATTACTATTCAAACATCTACCGCTCAAGTCGCATCTGAAGACGAATACGAGGATGATGACGAAGACGATGAACCTCCTTCCGAAGAAGAAATCCAACGTCGTCAATTTGTGAAAAACAAACCAGATCTTTCACAAATGTACAACCTTAACGATTTTGAATTTGTCGCTCGTCATACTATGGAAAAGACAGCATGGGCATATTATAGTTCTGCAGCTGATGACGAAATAACTATTAGAAATAATCATTTAGGATATCAAAGAATCATGTTCAGACCTCGAGTTATGGTTGATGTCAGTAATGTTGATATTTCAACTACTATGTTAGGTACGAAGGTTTCTCTGCCATTTTATATTACTGCCACGGCATTAGGGAAATTAGGACATCCTGATGGAGAAAAAGTCTTGACCAGATCTGCTGGGAAACATGACATTATCCAAATGATCCCCACATTGGCTTCTTGTTCATTTGATGAGATTGTGGATCAAGCTACTGAAAAGCAAACCCAATGGTTTCAATTATATGTGAACAGTGATCGTGAAATCTGTAAGAATATCGTGAAACATGCAGAAGCCAGAGGAATGAAAGGTTTATTCATCACGGTGGATGCCCCTCAATTAGGTCGTCGTGAAAAGGATATGAGAAGTAAAGAAGTTGAAGATTTGAGTTATGTTCAAGGTAATGATGACGAAGCTGATAGAAGTCAAGGTGCAGCTAGAGCCATTTCATCATTTATTGATACTTCTTTGAATTGGAATGATTTGGCATGGTTTAGATCAATCACAAAGATGCCTATTATCTTAAAGGGGGTTCAATGTGTCGAGGATGCCATCAAGGCAGCTGAATTAGGGTGTGAGGGGATTGTGTTGAGTAATCACGGTGGACGTCAATTGGAGTTTTCACCTCCTCCTATTGAAGTCTTGATTGAATTAATGCCAATATTGAGACAAAGGGGACTTGCTGATAACTTTGAAGTGTATGTTGATGGAGGGGTTAGAAGAGCCACTGATATTCTTAAGGCTATTTGCTTAGGTGCTAAAGGGGTTGGTATTGGTAGACCATTCCTTTATGCCATGTCAACCTACGGTGACGATGGAGTTAATAAGGCTATTCAAATCTTGAAGGATGAAATGATTATGAATATGAGATTATTGGGAGTTACTTCACTTGATCAATTAAATGAATCTTATGTTGATACGAGATATCACCAAGGTAGATATGTTCCAGAAGACAAATTGTTCAGCAATGTTTATGAACCAATGCCACACCCTGCGTGGAAGGATTCTAAGTTATAAAAGTGTTTAGATTTATACTTGTTTAGATAGTAACGTACACTATTTGAATACCTTGATTCTGTAGCCATCTCTTGCTTTTTTCCATGTTGTTCTGAAAGCTACGTGGATCATAGCTTGATCTATTTATAGTCATGCATGTATGTATGTACATGTACAACCAACCATGCAAAAATCTTTGGCCGTACAGACATTAGCCACTCCTTTAAATAAATTTGAGAAGCCATTTCCGTAATGAAACAGAAAGCCACAAACCACCAATACGCAAAAATCAACTTAAGAGAAAGAAGCAACTACATACAAGAGAGAACATAAGCCCTAGGCTATTCCTAACGAGAATGTTGAACATTCGGAAACCCAACGATTTGTCCGGTAAAGAGCCTTTTAATTAATTGGATCACAATATATTGCTGGCTAATATTATCCGCTGGATGTGAGGTGTGTGGGCTGCAGTTTTAAAATTTTTACTTTTAGGGCTAGGGCTATGCTAACGCAGAAGAAGAGAGAGGAGGTACCTTTTGATTTGTTGAAAAATACCTCATTGTATTAATTTATTAAATTCAATTCAATTTCGTCATCATTTAGTTGCAAATATTACACCCAAACTTCAATATAAAATTGCAGCAAAAAAAAGATTAAAATAAATAGAAGAAAAATTTTTCCTGTCTCATTTAAATCTGTAATAATTTAAATTTTTATGAAAATCCCACATACTTTCAGAGAGAAAGTGAAAGAGAGTCAGAAAATTTGAATAAAAATTTTGGCTGTAAAAAAATCCCTCAATTTTTTGTTTTTAAAGAGTGAACTTTTCAAGCCCTTCAGGGATATTCTTCATATTTCACCCTCCCCCCCCTTTACTAGATAGATACTTTAGATGGAATACCATAAGAGAACTGTTTGACAACTTTATCATACTAAAAGTTAACAAGAAAATTATCAGAAATCACAACCCAAAAAAAAGGGAGGAAAAAGCTTTTAAGGGGAAAGAAAAATCCACATTGATCCAACTAACAATTTATCATTTTTCACAGCCAAAAAGCATCTTTTATTGAAACGTTAGCTATTTTCATCAGGACAGGGCCAATTCATTCAGACTGAACTCCCCTCTAATAACTCCAACCAGTTACATACAGAAAATCATTCCACTTTTTTGCAAATAAACTGTGGAATAAAAATTTATAGTTTTTCAGCCGCTTTACGTCACTTGTTAATATTATTAACTACGGTTAGTGTTTGTTGCCAGAATTTTTTTTATAAGACATCATTTTTTTGAAAGATATACACGACCTTTTTCTTTTTTGGATTTCTTTTAGATTTTTTTTTTTGTTGTTCCCTTTGCTGCTTAGAGAGAAATTGAACCAAACTACAATCCAGCTACCCCCCCCAATCCCCCACCACAAACCAATCATTGTCTACAAGCTGTCCACCCAATATTCATTTTATACACAAACAAAAGGTTTGTACAAACACTAAACTCATATAAAGATATATATACCTATCATGGTTCTAATTAACGGAATCAAATATGCATGTGAACGATGCATCCGAGGTCATCGAGTAACCACATGTACTCACACTGATCAACCATTAACTATGATCAAACCAAAGGGAAGACCTGCTACACAATGTCAACATTGTCGAGATCAAAGAAAAATGAAAAACTTGCATACTACTTGCACTTGTGGTAAAAAGGGGAAAAGTCCAGGTACTCATTTAGCATCATGTTTATGTCATAAAAATGCCCATTGTACTTGTAGCAATAAACCACCAACTACCAAAACCAGTACAACTAATGGGAATATACATCATATGTCAGCATCAGAACGAGCTAAGAAGAAATCATTAATAGATGCCGCTAATGCAGATATCAAGAAAAAATCAACTTCGCCGTCAACAACAGCATCTATAAAATCACAACAACTGTCTCCATATCCTTCCATTTCTAATAATTTTGTTATTGAAGATATAGTTCTTCCTTTTGAGACAGGTAATGGATTATTTGACTTATTTTCCAATTCAGGAGCTCATTCTGATGGTGATTTTGGAAGTGGTTCTCAAGCATCAACTCCGGCATCAAATATAAATAACCCTAACCTTGAAGCGGCAAATTCAACCAACACCACTAACCCCAACCTACAAGGTTTTGACAAAGAGCCAATAATAAACAATCCTAGTAGAGACATCCGATTTAATGAGGGCTCGGCAGTTAATCCTAATAGCAACAAGCGTGCTGACATTATTTTCAATAATAGCGCCAACAATAACAACTTTCCTGGTGAGAACAATAATAACAATAACATAGACAACCAAAGTATAACTAGTCATCTAAGTCCCACCGACATGGATTTGGTAGATAATATGTTTCCATTATTTCCATTAGTGGGGAGTCAAAGTTTTGATACTGAAAATCAACCACTTCTGTTATTACCACCAACTGGATCCGACAGGCTGCAACCTATACCAACACCTACACAAACAAAAGCAACACAACATCCGAGGCCTATAAGACCATCAGTCAACACCCAAACAGCCAATCCAATTATCCCATCATCATCCGTCAATTCAATGAATAGCGTCAACACCGCAAATACTTCCAACTATACATCTACATTTCAAGCAACCAAACTAAAAAGACCAGAAAGTGTCTTATCTATCGCATCCAATTCTTCTTCAAGATCATTTGACGTCATCGGTCAAGGTTATGCCAACCATAGTTCATCCTTCATAAGTGGTGGCGGCGGTTTTCAAACCTCAAGTGCATATCCTCCTTCCAACCCATTTCATGATTCTACTCAACCACAAAGTGCAACTAGTGAGGAAAATCCCCATACACATCATTTCGGCCGGACTGGATTGGGGTCAAGTAATATCGGAACACAATTGAGTAAGATTGAATCGGAATTATATACGGAAAGTTTCTTTGATGAGGCGATTGAGAATAATAATGGACAACAACAACTTTCGGCCTCATCGTCGATTCCTAATTTTTATAGTGTTGGAACTGGAGGGGGCGGTGAAGGGTCTGTGACGGGTGGGATTGGTGGTAGTAATGGTGGTGGTGGGAATAGCAACAATGCGGTGAATGGATCGGTTAGTGATTTGACATATCATAATCAGAATGGATCTATGTCGGATCTTACATTTGATAAAAATATTCCAAATCCTTTGGATTATGATATTCCATTATATCAAGAAATGTTTACTCCACTTACGTCAAATAAAGCTTCTCATCCGTTTTATCAAGCACAACCAGATCAACAATCACAACAACAACAACAACAGCAACAACAAATGAATCAGAATGATTTTTCAGAAGATGAGAATTATCGAGAGAGCAATCATCACAATTAAGGAACAATCAACTACAATAGGTCGTAAGGCTTGCTTCAAGCAGTAGACACACAGAATTAATTATTTAATGATATGTTTTATCTTCTCTTATTATGTTTTAGTATTCCAAAAATGTGTAGTTATTTATTAATAGAAATTTGTCATGCAGTGTCATATGAGGTGAACTGCAATGTTGTTAAGAGTCAAGAATGTTTAGATTTTGCCTGTAGAATGTAATCATATTAATTATTTAATTTATCTATCTATATACTTTCTAGAGAAGAAATGCTACTTCTTCGCTTTTGGATCATTTATTTCCAAATGTTGTAATCGAGTTATATTTGAATCCATGGCTAAAGCATTTTCATTCGTGATTGATTTTCTGGCCCCGTTTTGAGGTGGTTGAATAGTGGTTGGTAATTTGTTTGCCTGCTCGTGGTCATAAAGATAGTGAGTTAAGATTTCATCAGGGATATCTAGGATTGATTTAGATTCGATTTCTTGAAGACGACATAATCTGAGTAGATATTCTAATAATGAGAGTGAAGAATGCTTAACCTCTTTGTCTGCCTCCTTCTTCGTGGTCTTTATGTCCTCGCCTTCCTCGTCTTCATTATCTTCATCGTCTTCGTCGTCATCATCAAATTCCCCTCTGTTTAATTCTCCCAAAGCTATCCATTCCTCTTGCCCATTCTCAACTAGCTTAATTATCAACACAGGCGAGTTCCTTCCTTCTAAACGTAATAATTCCCCAGAGGCAGTGAAAAACATTCTCTGGACTAAGCTTAAATCATAAGTCTTTTTTTGCGGTTTATCATTATCTTCATGATATCTATCATCATTGAAATCTTCCAAAACTTCTAAATTATAAGAGAACTCTCCCCCTCCCGCAACTGCTATTTTGACCAGACATCTTGCAAATGTTTCTTTCCAAGTTATACAACTCAATTCATCTACTTCTCCACCTTCGATATATTTCAACCTACTAGGATTATAGAATATCGTATACATAACCAAATCAAAACTAGGACCAATATTTTTCGTATCACCTTGATTAATATAATTTGCAGCCTGTAAGAGTCTCCCAGGGGAAATACATTTCCTATTCACATCCCCACTCAAATTCAGAACAGTCAATGCAAGATTAAGAATCGGGATCGCATCATTGATATCACCCAATAAAGATGCCATATATTCCTCCACCTTCTTAATCGACTCCGGCTCATTCTTATTCGTCAATTGAGTAATGATTTGATTCACTCTTTCATCAAATTCATCAATTTGGGAATGAATATCATCTATAAGTTCAACCGTGGATTCCAATACCGTATTTCCTCTAGCGCTTGCTAATTTTATAAGATCAATTGCGGTAGAAAAGATGTTTATCTTGATTTTTAGTTGTCGTCTTTGTTGTTCGATTCGTTGTTTTGCCAGTTCGGGGATCTGAGCTAGAAAACTGCTGATTGTTTTGATTGCATAGCCAGATGCTAATGATATTCCGGAACGTATAGCAAATGATACTGCTTGATTGCTTGCCTTTAGAAAGATCTGATCCATTTCCTGATGGGGTGTTACTTTCTGTGGGGGGATGAGATTGATTTGTTCTAGAATCTTTTTTTTTCCGAATCTTCGAATGGTTAGTGAATTTGTACGCGCAGATTTGTTTTTGTTTTTGTTTTTATTTTTCATTTTCTTCTTTTTTACAACCATCAACAACCATCAACAACCATCAACTTTTGACTTACACTATAGAGATATAGTATAGACAACTCATAGAAATAGTAATAAAGAATGGCGGTAAGAAAACCATTAACTCAATTCACAACTCCACTTGGTTCAGGTGCTGGTGTTCCCAAAGATAAACGACCACCACGCGTCACCGATTCAGAAACCAGATTGGCAAAACCATTCAAAGTCCCCTTCGCTGGTCGTCTGCAAACTGGAAATGGAGCATTGGCCACCACTAGAGGACGTCCAATTCGTACTGCGAGAACCAAAGTAACTAATTATGTCGAAGATGGGGTTGTAACTGAAACTCAAGATTATGCTATTGATGAACAAGGTCAAGTAATTACTCAACAAAAGAGATATGGTGCATTATTACCGAGAGCTATGTTAAATAAAGATATGGGAGGTACAGAGTTAAAGTTAAGAAAGTCATTTACTATTCCATTTAAGAAAGATAATGTGAAACAAAATGAAATACAACGAGGTCCACCACCTCCATTAGGTACAAAAGTAAAACCAATATTACCTCCACGAGCACTTCATGACCCCATGAGTGAATTTGCAATTGTATTATATGACCCAACTGTAGATATTATTCCTAAGATTGAAGAAGAGAAACCCAAATCCGAAGAAAGCGAAGACCTGAAATCACCTACCCCAGAACCACAAGAGACACAACAACCACCATTAAAGAAACGAAGAACTCATAAGTCATTAGCCGAAATCTTAGGAATTGTCAGTAATCCCGATGAACAATTAGCTAAATATCCTAACGTGCCAGTTGTAATTGATCCCAAATTAGCCAAGATTCTTCGACCCCATCAAATCGCGGGTGTGAAGTTTTTGTATAGATGTACTGCTGGTTTAATCGATCCACGAGCAAAAGGATGCATCATGGCCGATGAAATGGGATTAGGTAAAACATTACAATGTATCGCGTTAATGTGGACATTACTTCGACAGAGTCCTCGTGGGAAAAGAACAATTGAAAAATGTATTATTGTTTGTCCGTCTTCATTAGTTCGTAATTGGGCTAATGAAATTATTAAATGGTTGGGAGAAGGTGTGTTGACACCTTTGGCTGTTGATGGTAAATCAACTAAATCGAGTGATTTAGGTTTGGCATTACAACAATGGTCTACTGCGAAGGGAAGAAATGTTGTTCGTCCTGTATTGATTATATCGTATGAAACATTGAGACGAAATGTTGATAAATTGGCAGGTACTGAAGTTGGGCTTATGTTAGCTGATGAAGGACATCGTTTGAAAAATGGAGATTCTTTAACATTTACTGCGTTAAATTCTTTGAGATGTGAGAGAAGGGTTATTTTATCTGGGACACCTATTCAAAATGATCTTTCTGAATATTTCTCCCTTTTGAATTTTGCTAATCCTGGTTATTTAGGTACCAGGAATGATTTTAGAAAGAATTTCGAAAATGCAATCTTAAGAGGTAGAGATGCTGATGCAACTGATAAAGAACGTGAAAATGGGGATAAAAAATTAGTTGAATTATCTCAAATGGTATCCAAATTTATCATCAGAAGAACTAATGATATCTTATCCAAATATCTTCCTGTTAAATATGAATATGTCTTATTCACTGGATTATCACCTATGCAAAAAGTTTTATATCAACATTTCATAACCTCCCCCGAGATTAAGAAATTACTTCGTGGTATTGGGTCACAACCATTGAAAGCAATCGGTATGCTTAAAAAGCTATGTAACCATCCCGATTTATTAAACCTTCCGGATGATATCGATGGAAGTGAAAATCTAATTCCAGACGACTATTGTTCGTCCATAGGACCAAATTCCGGTGGAGGTCGTAATCGAGAAATCCAAACTTGGAATAGTGGGAAATTTATGATCTTGGAAAGATTCTTACACAAGATCCATACTGAGACTAATGATAAAATTGTCTTGATTTCAAACTATACCCAAACCTTAGATTTGATCGAAAAAATGTGTCGTTCGAAACGATATGGGTCCCTTCGATTAGACGGGACAATGAATATCAATAAACGTCAGAAATTAGTTGATAAATTCAATAATCCTGAAGGATCGGAGTTTATATTTTTGTTATCCTCAAAAGCAGGTGGTTGTGGTATCAACCTTATTGGTGCCAATAGATTAGTTCTTATTGACCCAGATTGGAACCCAGCCCTGGATCAACAAGCACTTGCCAGAGTATGGAGAGATGGACAAAAGAAAGATTGTTTTATCTATAGGTTTATCAGTACCGGTACAATCGAAGAAAAGATTTTCCAAAGGCAATCTATGAAATTATCATTGTCTAGTTGTGTAGTTGATGAAAAGGAAGATGTTGAAAGATTGTTTAGTGCTGATAATTTACGTCAATTATTCCAATTCCAGCCCGATACGATGTGTGATACTCATGAAACTTATAATTGTAAACGTTGCTCAAAAGAAAAGGGACAATTTATTAAATCCCCAGCTATGCTTTATGGGGATGCCACGACGTGGAATCATTTGACCAATAGTGCATTGGCTAAAAATGAAGATACATTGATTGCAAACGAATCAGAGTTTAATGATATTTCATTTGCATTCCAGTATATATCTCATTAGCAATAGAATAAATAGATTTTGTTGCAAATATGAAATAAAATAGCCAAATTAAACTCGGGAGCATATACCCATGAATGATCTATAATGGCATTGTAAGAAGTGTGACTGCTCTTTTAGAGAGTATGAGATTTGTTTGTAGTTAGTATCCGGGTGCATGTACCCGCACTGGTTGCAAAAATTTAAACATCCAGCAATCTAAAGTCCCATTTGTTATATCACCGTGCGTAACCATTACAAATGGCTTTCTTTGGAATTAAACGTACTATCTCCACAATGAATGCTCTTTTCTTGTCATGTTACATTTCCCCTATTACTTAAGAACTCTATTCAAAGTAAATTTCCCTGGAAGAGGAAAACTTTCAAAAGATTGTCGGTATAATTCAATTGCTGTAGTAACAATAGTCAAACTTGTAGAGCTAATGGAATAGAAACATTGTTGACCCACTTGATGCCCCACCACTGCTTCGGCGTTTCTAATAAGCATGCAATAGCTTCTATTGATGAGCAATACAGGGCCGTGTTTGTGTTACGGGTACCCGTAACCGACTGGTATTGTAAGTTTTTTTTCTTGATGGTCCCTCCACCAAAATGATTCCCCCACATTTCCCATAGTGGGACAAACAAAACAATCCAATCACCGAATCAAGAAACGTAATAGTTTTTCAAACCTTCAATATAAATTGCACTCCTACTTCCTGTTTATCATTCTTCCAAGATCCTGATTAATCAATTCAATAAGCCAAAACATGTCATTAGAACAACAACAGCAACATCCTCCCAACCCAATCATCATCGTCGGTGGTGGTCTTGCTGGTCTTTCCGCGGCTCATCAGGCATACTTGAGAGGGGCAAACGTAATCCTCCTCGACAAACAAGGTTTCTTAAGTGGAAACAGTGGTAAGGCCACTTCAGGAATAAATGGTGCCTTAACAAGAACCCAAGTGAAATTAGGTATTCCTGATTCAGTTGAACAATTTTATCAAGATACACTTGCTGCTGCTAAAGATAGGGCCAATCCTGAATTAATTAAAGTATTGACATATAATTCGGCAGATGCTATTCATTGGTTACAAGAGGTTTTTGAATTGGATTTGAGTATTGTTTCTAGATTGGGGGGACAATCTCAGCCTAGAACTCATAGAGGTCATGATTCTAAATTTCCAGGAATGGCTATTACATATAGACTTTTGGAAAGGTTAGAGACATTGAGTGAAACTGAACCTTTTCGAGTTCAAATATTAAAGAATTGTCAAGTTATTGATTTGGTGGTTGATGACAATGATGGGTCTAAAATCTTGGGGGTTAAATTTAAGAATCTTCAAGATAAATCAAAACATGAAGTTTTGGGTCCTGTGATTATGGCTACTGGTGGTTATGCTGCTGATTTCACCAAGAATAGTTTATTGAGAAAATATCGTCCTGATATTATTGACCTTCCATCTACAAATGGAAATCATGCCACTGGGGATGGTCAAAAGATCATCATGAAGAATCATGGGGTTGGTATTGATTTGGATAAAGTTCAAGTTCATCCTACTGGATTAATCGACTACAACGATAAGGACGTGGTTATGGGTAAAAAGACTCCTAGATTTTTATTCTTGGGTGCAGAAGCATTAAGAGGAGAAGGTGGTATTATGCTCAACTCCAAGGGTGAAAGATTTGTCGATGAATTAGGAACCAGAGATTGGGTTTCTGGAGAAATGGAAAAACAATTCAAGGCAGGTAATGGTCCAATCCGATTAATCTTGAATGAAACCAGTGAAAAGAATTTAGAATTCCATATCAAACACTATACTCAAAGAAACTTGATGAGAACGGTTTCTGGACGTGAATTGGCCGACGAATTAGGTTGTACTGATGAACAGCTCGCTTCTCAATTAGACACATACAATCGTGCAGCTAGTGGTGAAATCAAAGATCCATACGGAAAGAAATATTTCCCAGCTACTCCATTCAACTATCGTCCAGATTCAAAATATCATGTTGCTTTTGTAACTCGTGTCTTGCATTTCACTATGGGTGGAGTCAAGATCAATGATCATTCTCAAGTTGTGCGTGAGAATGGATCTCCATTTGAAGGTTTATATGCCGCCGGTGAAGTTGCTGGTGGTGTACATGGGCACAATAGATTAGGTGGATCTTCATTATTGGCTTGTGTGGTATATGGAAGATTAGCTGCCGATGAAGCAACCAGTCATGCTTTCCAAAAGTTGAGCTCTGCAGCACCGGTGGCAGCCCCTGTTGAAGCTGCTTCTAAGAGATTGAATATGATTAGTTTACATATTGATCCAGAAAGCGGTAGAATTATCATTGACCCAAAGGGGCTGGCTTCACCTGAGTCAATCCCAGCCTCAGCAACTCCAACTTCGACCCCAATTGCTTATGCATCATCTGCTTCAAGTGTTGCTGCTCCAGCTCCTACCAAAGCAGCAGCTCCAAAACCATTCAGTATCCCAGATCGTGAATATACAATGGAAGAAATCGCCAAACATAACAAAGAAAATGACTGTTGGTGTGTTGTAAAGAATGTTGTTCTTGATTTAACATCATTCTTAGCTAATCACCCAGGTGGAATGGAATCAATTGTGAATTTTGCTGGTAGAGATGCTACTGAAAGTTATGCAATGTTGCATGAAGATAATTTTATTCCAAAATATGTTAGTGGTTCTGTTTTGGGTAGGGTTAAGGGAACTGTTCCTACCTTGGATTTGTAGTTTTAGATATTTTAGATAGTATGTAGATCATCCTGTCTTAGTATACAGTTTATATTGTGACTTTTTCTCAGGGCAATAATGCTACTGTTTGTAGAACGCGAGTTTCCTCGCTGAAAATTTCCTTTCGCGTTTTACCATATAAGATATCAGCCCATGTGCATACAATTATTATCCAAATGAATCAATGAATGAATATGTATATATTATAAATATGAAAAATAACTAAAAATGACTCTTTCTCAACTAACCAGAACTAAAAAAGAAAATATAAACCAAAAAAAAATCTGACTCTCTGACTCTTTGTCTTTTCTGAAAAACTTAAGATTCTTGTATACTAGCAACATATTCTTCTTCAGTCATTAAACTGTCATTAGCTTCATCAACATTAACAGAAGTATCAAGTTTAATTTGAGTAATCCAACCTTCACCCAAAGGATCGGTATTAACAATACTTGGATCACCACTAGCGGCATTATTAATAGCAATAATTTCACCCTTAACTGGAGAATAGATTTCAGAAGCAGACTTCACGGATTCGATAGAACCAATAGAATCCCCAATTTCAACTGGATCACCAATTTCTGGTAATTCAACAAAAGTAACATCACCAAGGGCTTCAGCTGCATATCTTGTGATACCGACATATGCAGTATAATCTGGCATGATAGCAACCCATTCGTGGTCAGGAGTATATCTAACAGCAGCTGGACCTTCTGATTGGTGATATTTGAAGATATCTGCTTTTGGGTTTACTTTTTGACTACCATTTAAAGCAAATCTTGAGGTGGAGAAGAAAGCAGCTCTGGTAGCAATTGGTGAAACGAAAGTTGGTCTAACGATTGAGGTTCTTAACAATGACTTGAACATGGTGGATTACTAATTGGAAAGCGATACAGCAGAGAGAGAAGAAGAAGAGAAAGAAGAGAAACAAGCAATTGGAAAAATAAGAATCTCTTTATAAAAAAAAAACAGAAGAAAAACTTCCAATTGGTAAAAATTGATGCCTGGTATGATTGTTTGGCTTATCTATTGAAGAATGGATGTTTGATGTTTGACTTCGATTTCATTTGCGGAGGTGGTCAACCTACAATGCCTTACAAAAAAAACAATTTGACTTCGCTTTAAAAGAAGTCAAAGTTTTTCACTCGAATACAATGGGGATTTTCAAACAGAATGGATTTCCAATGATTCACGTATTCTTTCAGTTGTAGAGTGTTTTATATAGTTTTGTGATGATCGAAATGGGGGAATAGGTTGTCTTCAACATGGATTCTGAGTTGGAAGCGAAGGGCCCATACCGTGGGGCACGAGAAGCTATTTAAGGTACAGTTGTAGTAGCTGGCGACCCACTGGTGATCCGTAGATTTTAAGCTTTTGCTTTCATGACAATCATTGTCATTAAACCATGAACAAAGTGTGATATTATTTTTGATATAAGGTCCATTATAACGGAATATTGAGTCTCATTTAGCATGTCTTATCTGATTCCATTCATCAATTGGATTGAGTAAGGAAATCGGCTACATTCCACAAACTCACCCCGAGAGACTGAGATTCAGTGTGTAATTTTTTGTTTGCAACCAATCAAACCCCCAAATTACAGTCATTAATATCATGTGAAATTAACCGATTCCTATGTCCTTCAATCGAGCATTAGGAATTGATGACTATTATCGAAGGAACTGGCTCTGATATATCAGAAGTCCACAAACTCGATGTTCGGTCTTATACCGGGCTTTATCCTCACCTGAGGTTTCTCTTGTGATGGTTTACCTCATCGATGGCAGATACCATAGCATCCCTACTATATAGTGCTAGTCCCATTAAGTGAGTTGGACCAGTTAGAGAATCTGTCCGGCTCATCTAAGAAGGATTGTTGCCTGAGCACGGATGTGCGATGGAGATCTTCAGCCTGCTTTTTGTGAGCATATCTCGTGGGCTTCCTGGGATAGGCCAGAGCTAGAGCGCAGGCGATATTGCTACAGACTGGATACATGCCTGAATTCACTTACCCAGTTGTGAAAATAATAGGTACTTTAAATGTAATTTAAGGGCTGCAAAAACACGGCACAACGAAGAGTATTTGCAACACTACAACAATAATGGTTCACTCGTTATCATCGGATGAAACTATTATTCAACTATATAAAACCTTAAGAACATTAGAAATAGAAGTAAAAAAAAGGAAACACGTTATATAAAAATTGCTATCAAAAAACCGGCGCCATCAATACAAAATTTCATTAAGTAATTCATACATCCTCCTAACTAAAATGAACAGCAATAGGTACGACAATAACGATGATAACAATAATTACACCAAAAATAAGACACATTCTCATCTTGAAATCTTTCCACCACATATCTTTTCTAACTCTATTAGCACCTCTTCTAAATCCTTGAGCACTGATTGCTAAATTATCAGTCTTATTTTCTATAGAATCTAATCTTTCACCTCTTTCAGCAACTTTGTTAATGTTGTCTCTCATAATACCGACTGTATCATCGATTTGCTAAATAGGGTTGTTTGTTAGTAACAAAGTTAATTCTAGTATGTTTAGTCTATTCTGATATACATACGGCTTGTATAGCTGCTGTTCTGGAATTTGATTGGTCACCAGTAGTTTGGTTTGGAATATATGGGTCATAAGGAACTGAAGACGACATCTTGTGTATATATTATTTGTATTTGTAAATTATTGATAATTTCTATGTAATTGGGAGGGGGGATAGGTTGATATGTTTGTAATGTCAGATATTTGGAAAATTAATTTTTGATTCTCCTTAATATGATCTGTGAGTAAATCTATTGATGTTTACTGGTTAATCTGAGATTGATTGATTATTGGTGGGGGGTTATAGGTTTAATCAGTTAAAAAGTGCTTCTATCTATCTAACTCCTTTTTTTTTTAGAAATGAAATGAAGAATGAACAGAGAGAGAGAAATATCACCAACTTTTTTTTTGTTTGGTGGCTACATTACTTGATATTACTATTGAAGAATGGATGTAACAATGTAGATTACGTAGGTGGCTATCCTTGNTTTGGTGGCTACATTACTTGATATTACTATTGAAGAATGGATGTAACAATGTAGATTACGTAGGTGGCTATCCTTGGATTCCGAAAATAGAAATTTGATATAATAAAACGACATTTATGAAATGTCGTAACTGTCAAATCTACCCAACGGTTAAATCAATAAGGAGGCGGTGTCGTAGAACGTCATGATAAACCTGAAAAGATAATGATCTTTCGAAGGCGATGCAGCTCTGCCTTACCTTTATTATGCAAGTTACAATAATAATAGGAGTCTGAACTAACCCTCTGAGGACCAGTGGTTCTCATCGTATAGAACAACTAGATTGCTGCAAATTGAAAACAAAATCGGCAATATTTGCCAGCCTTCGGCATATTGATTCATAGCAACATCGCATGCTGTCTGACTAGATATCGAGACTGCATCAAATACAAGGTGATTTTTCCAGACTAGAGGTTGATGAGCTTCGATCCCCTCAACAGCTTTTTCCTAAGCTTTAAAATCATTAAAAGTATATTGATTTTTAATGGACAACCCGTTTTTCTTATGATAATAAATCGGTTACGCGTCAGCTTTTTTCCCTTCTAGAACTTTGCCGAGCCATTGAAAATAAAGCACGGTAAGAGAAGATATCATGACATGATCGGAGTTGAGTTTGGCTGTAAAGTAGTCGAACGAATGTAATGGAAGTTGGAGAAGAGTGTTACTTGAAGCCCTGATAAAAAGAATATTCGATCAAAAGGTTAAATAATCTACTGTGATTTTTCAATTACACATGCAACAAAGGTCTACGAATATTCCAAAAAAATATTCCACTTACACCACAAGTCATCGAGAGAAATTCAATTAAGGGAGGGCATGTACCAAAAATAAGTTAATGTGTAAAATCTTAATTGCTTAAATATGTTTGTAATTAACTATTTAACGTGTGTGTGTGTATGTCGTTTGTACATTGTATGTATCAATTGTATTGTATTATAATAGGAGGCGTGTACTATTGTCCAAATTTATTTTAACGACGACGACGACAAAATTTCATTTTTTTTTTTCAGATTGTCTGAGGTGTAAAAACTTCATTTGTCTCACCGACTGTTAAAACCAACTCAACTTTTTTCACCCTTTTTCTTTTTCTCTCTTTTACTCTTTCTTCTTCTCTTTCTACAAGATTATCTTTTTGTATAATTAACTTAATAAACTAATAAATAAAAAATGGACGGTGGTATGTAACTTAACAACTTAATTCAATTTGATTATAATTTCAAAAGAATTCTGATTGCTTTTCAAAAACGAAATAGTTGTGAAAATTTACATGTGGGCAAATCATTTTTTGATGTGTTGGCAAATTTCCAACATTCAATCAATCAATCTAGGGATTACGAAGGGTCGATTTATATGAGGAGGAGAGATTGGTATGCATATTCCCAGGCTTATTAACGAAATATAACAAAGAAGTGAGTCCTTAGAGACAATCAATTCTGTTGGGCTCCCCCTCGGCTTGTTTCAGTCTATGATTCTACTTTGGCATAGAAGCATGAATTTTTCACTCAATTCATCAATTCCTTTCGATTTAAAGTACAATTGATATCTACACTACCTATCTACATATTTTTAATTGATTGATTGAAATTGTCAATTCCCCAAATATCTAGCAAAATCGACAGTGTTACAATTTTGAACGGTTTATCTTTTTTTAGTGGGTGAGATTAAGATTGAAAGATTCCGTTGGACGACAGTTATTTTTTTTTTTTTTTGGTGCCCGTTGTGTTTTTTTTCGGTTGTCGAGGAATTGAAAAAAAAAATCTACTCACACACACAAAATCACACACCCACCCAATTATTTTTCAGACGATCAATTTTTTTTCTGTCCCCACTAGAGACGAACACAAAATTTAATTTAATTGTTGTCCACTTGGCTTTGATGCTTCAATTGGGTTTCCCCTAATTGATCCGGCACTGGTACACAAGGTTGCTATTGATCATTGTAACATCTAATTGTTTTTGAAAGCACAAGGATTCCTTATTGGATAATCAATTGAAATATGTGAATCATGATTTTAAGATCTCTTTTTACTAACACCTTTCTATAGAAGAAGTTGCTGCTTTAGTTATTGATAACGGTTCCGGTATGTGTAAGGCCGGTTTCGCCGGTGATGATGCTCCAAGAGCTGTTTTCCCATCTATCGTTGGTAGACCAAGACATCAAGGTATCATGGTTGGTATGGGTCAAAAGGATTCTTATGTTGGTGATGAAGCCCAATCCAAGAGAGGTATTTTAACTTTAAGATACCCAATTGAACATGGTATTGTTTCTAACTGGGATGATATGGAAAAGATTTGGCACCACACTTTCTATAATGAATTAAGAGTTGCTCCAGAAGAACATCCAGTTTTATTAACTGAAGCTCCAATGAATCCAAAATCTAACAGAGAAAAGATGACTCAAATTATGTTTGAAACTTTCAATGTTCCAGCTTTCTACGTTTCTATTCAAGCTGTTTTATCTTTATATTCTTCTGGTAGAACTACTGGTATTGTTTTAGATTCTGGTGATGGTGTTACTCACGTTGTTCCAATTTATGCTGGTTTCTCTTTACCACATGGTATTTTAAGAATTGATTTAGCTGGTAGAGATTTAACTGATTATTTGATGAAGATTTTATCTGAACGTGGTTATACTTTTACTACTACTGCTGAAAGAGAAATTGTTAGAGATATTAAAGAAAAATTATGTTATGTTGCTTTAGATTTCGAACAAGAAATGCAAACTTCTTCTCAATCTTCTGCTATTGAAAAGTCTTATGAATTACCAGATGGTCAAGTTATTACTATTGGTAATGAAAGATTTAGAGCTCCAGAAGCTTTATTCCGTCCATCTGATTTAGGTTTAGAATCTGCCGGTATTGATCAAACCACTTTCAACTCCATCATGAAGTGTGATGTTGATGTTAGAAAGGAATTATATGGTAACATTGTTATGTCTGGTGGTACTACTATGTTCCCAGGTATTGCTGAACGTATGCAAAAGGAAATTACTGCTTTAGCTCCATCTTCTATGAAGGTTAAGATTATTGCTCCACCAGAAAGAAAATACTCTGTCTGGATTGGTGGTTCTATTTTGGCTTCTTTATCTACTTTCCAACAAATGTGGATCTCAAAACAAGAATACGACGAATCTGGTCCTTCTATTGTTCACCACAAGTGTTTCTAAGCTAGACTGATAAATACAACCAAACAACCCACCCCATCAATACAAATACAGTATCTTAAAGAAGAGAGGAAGAGGAATACTAATGAAGAGACGTTCTTTTAGGTGTGTCTTTATTAATATTTTTTTTAAGTAAGTTTTTGTTTTTGCTCTACAATGTTTTTTATAATTTATAAAAATTTTCTATATTTTTAAATTGTTAGATATATATTATATATATAGTAGTTTATAACATTGTTTGAATTAATATATATATTATAAAACAAATTGAGTTTTTGTAGTTTACATATCTCTACTGAGATTGGCGGGGCAATCAGGTACGCGAAAGAAGCTAATATATTTATATGAACTAATCTATGTAAGTGCTATACATCTCTATTAATTCCTTTGTCGAGGTGGAATAGGTACCGGAGAGAACTCTGAGGAAGGTTCCACACGACGTTCTTGCAAATCTCGTTCCGGCGTTGATTGTCGTTGTTCTTCCTCTTCCCGTTGTTTCTGTTGACTACTACTTCCAATCACTTCAGCAGTAAAATCAGCCAGCTGTGCTTTCATCTGTTTCATTTCCTCAACACCATCATAAAGGATCTTCCAGGTCTTACCTACGTCATCAAATTCTTTGCCTACTTGTACGGAATCATTAAGAGATCTATTGAGATTATCGAGATTGTATACAACTGTGGATAAATTGTTTGATATTTCTTGGATTAAAAGATCTCGTTGTTTGAGAAAGTATGTGTTTGCTTTCTGCGAAGTAGATTGTTCTTGTTGTTCTCTTTGGCGTCGTTGTGCTGATGATTGTGGATTTGACATGATGTGTGTGGGATTAGTGTGTTGAAGCTTTTAGTCTCTAGTCTCTAGTGAAATTTGTTTGTTTATTGATTTAATTCAATGATTTTTTTCTTGTGAGTTCAAATCTCAGATTGTTGCCAAAGATTCCAATTGAGCGGCTTGTTCGTAATGACATCCACAACCAGCATAATATAAGGATCAATAATGGGAAACGGTGTAATGAAAGATGACAACGCCAACAATAACTAAAAACTTTTTTACATGGAAAACAGCTGCAAAGAAGAACAGGAAACTAAATTGACAATCAGAGAAATAAATCAAATCATTCACGACTCAAGCTTACAATATAGCCAACAGGAGTATCCAAGCTTGAGAATCAAACGCAACAAACCTGACAGTTCGTTCAAATTTGGATCCAACACTTAAACCCCGAATCTCAATAATTTGAACGAACTCTCAGATTTGTTGCGTTTGAATCTCAACCCTTTGATACTCCTGTTGGCTATAGTCGTAAGTTTGAGTTGTGAATGATTTGATTTTTTTGTTGAGATACATGCTAATGCAAGACTTCTTGTATGGATAGTTATGTGTTGGGAATGTGAGTTAAAATATTGGCTAAAATTGTGAGTTCACTAAATAAAAATAGTTTGAAAATTGCCACCGTACAAATCTGACAATAATAATATATTTATAGTTATTAGTCGTCAAAAGTTTTGCAAGTCGCGTCAATTTGTATCTACAAGTTTCGCCAGTGATTCTACTATAGTCGTGTAAATTTCAAAGTATTTCATTAAATATCATACGAGCAAAGTAGACGCACATACAAGTCTTACAGAATCTATATAGAGAGACATTCTAACAGACATTCACAATTTAAAAGCTACATAGATCTTTCTTATCGTATATGAGGTGTCTTGCATCCTCTTGTATTTTTAGATAATTTAGCTACCCATACGAAGATTTCAATTTCATTGTCAGGTATAGCTTCCTTCCAACTTCCAACTGACGCTATTTCTAATATCAACTCTGATCTGATAAGTTGAACTCGCAAATTTCTTGTATACGCAAGTAAAGGGTCATTCCAAGACATATTATCTTAGTGGAACATTCAATACCAGAAGAGGTGTTTCCGCATAGCTGTAGTTTTATTACTAACCTAAGAATATTTAGGGTCAGATATCAAAATCTGTGTGACACAACTTTATGGTTTTTTTTTGCAACCAATTCTTTAATAAAAAGTTCAGAGAAACAAGTTCAAGTCATTTTAAGAGAGAAACCCATCTCGTTTTGAAGCAATGGTGTCTTCTGATAGGGCTTACCTTACTAGTCATATATTGATAGAGAGAGCTTCAGGTTGTCGTAGGTACATATACTCAAATTTTGTTACACCAAGGCTTGTTGTTCCATCCAGTTTTTCAGAATCTCATACCATGCAGGAAAAAAGTTTTTCAATTCAGATCTGATTCTTTTGAATATTTCATTCTTTTTCTCTTGTTATAAAAACCATTGATTAACACAGCATGGCCAAGAAAGATAAGAAATCAAAAGAAGCAAAGAAGGCACGTGCTGCCGAAAAGCAAAAGAAAGCTTCCACCAAAGCAGAATCAAAATCCAAAAAAATTGCAAAGAAACTCGGAGAAGATGATGACGATGATCAAGACATCGATGCCATCTTAGAACAATATGCCAAAGAACAAGAAGAATTCACCGAAGTGAAAATCGAAATCTGCAACCGACCCCTGAGAAGATTAAACCCAAGTATGGTTGCAAATCCACTTCATGGAAAACGTGAATTGATATTATTCGGAGGTGAACATAATGATGGAAGTGTATCTCATTTCTATAATGAATTATACACCTATTCCACCGATAATCATACTTGGAGAAAAATCATCTCCAAAAATACCCCACTTCCTCGATCTTCCCACGCCATGTGTGCTCACCCTTCAGGGGTTATATTAATGTTTGGTGGGGAATTCTCCTCGCCAAAACAATCAACATTTTATCATTATGGGGATACATGGATCCTAGATGCTGAATCCAAAGAATGGGCCAAAATTGATCAAAAGAAGGGTCCATCGGCAAGATCAGGTCATAGATTAGCCATTTGGAAAAATTTCATTATCATGCATGGGGGATTCCGTGATTTGGGTACCCTGAGTACATATTTGAATGATGTTTGGTTGTTTGATGTTAGTGATTATAAATGGACCCAAGTTGAATTCCCACCCAATCATCCTATTCCTGATGCAAGATCAGGTCATTCATTATTGTCCTGTGCCGATGGAGCGGTTGTATATGGGGGATATTGTAAAGTGAAAGCCAAGAAGGGTTTACAAAAGGGAAAAGTGTTGACTGATTCTTGGTTATTGAAGATGAAACAGGATCCTAGTGGGATTAGGTTTGAAAGAAGGAGAAAACAGGGTTTTGTTCCAAGTCCAAGAGTTGGATGTTCGTTGGTATATCATAAAAATAGAGGGATTTTATTTGGTGGGGTTTATGATTTTGAAGAAAGTGAAGAACAATTAGATTCTGAATTTTATAATAGTTTATATTCTTACCATATTGAAAATAATAGATGGTATAATTTAAGTCTTAAGAATCCAAGAAAGAAGAAAACCGAACAAGTTAAAGAAAAGACCCGTGATGAAGATTTGGAAGATATTTTGAATTCCATTTTGGCAAAAGCAAATTTGAAAGACGAAGACGATGATGAAGATGATGATGAGCAAATTGATTTGAATCAATTGAGTTTAGAAGATGATGAGGCTGATGACCGGGTTGAATATCCTGTTATGAACCAACTACCACATCCAAGATTTAATGCAACTACATGTGTAGTTGATGATACTTTATACATCTACGGTGGGATCTTTGAAAGAGGAGAAACTGAATTCAATTTAGATTCAATGTATGCCATTGATTTAGGTAAATTAGATGGGGTTAAGGTACTTCGGGAAGATTTATCTGAGTTGGATAAAGCTGAAGCCAACTCTGACGAAGAAGAAGAGGACGAAGATGAGTATGAAGACGAAGACGAAGAGGAAGAAACTGCTGATACTAAGCTTGAAGTCGAAGAAGAGGAGGAGGAAGAACAAGAGGAAGAAGAGGAAGAGGCAGAAATGGAAGAAGAAGAATTCCCAGATCCAAGATCATGGTTACCTCATCCTAAACCATTTGAAAATTTACGTGCTTTTTATGTTCGTACTGGTGCACAATTCTTAGAATGGGCTATTTCAAGTAATAAATATGCTAGAGGGAAATATTTGAAAAAGGCTGCTTTTGATTTATGTGAAGAAAGATTCTGGGAAAGAAGAGAAGCTGTTTCTGTTGCTGAAGATAATTTGGAAGAATTGGGTGGAGTTGGAGAAGTGATTGAAAGAGATTTCTCCAAGACTACAAAGAGAAGATAGTAAATATAATATAGACCCGTAAAACTTTATTAAAAGAATTTTCTAATATACAACCTAGAAAGAAATGAAATGTTTTATGCAAAATGGATTCCAACTTGATGGAAAGCATATAATAACTTTAAGAAATCGGTTTGATCCATTTTGGAAGATCTCTTTTCGGCAAACCCAGTTTCATTCAACACATTGTCAATCTTTTGTTTAACAACATCAGTCAACGATGCTCTATCATCTACCATCATTGAATCACCTTCTTCAGCAGCCTGAGTTGCCAAATAAGTCTTATAATTCTTTTCTAAAATATCTATAACATTTGAAGATTTAAACCCAGCGGCAATAGTTTTATTCTTTCTCACAAAACAAATACGTAATAACCCATCCCATTCATTAAAGTCAATATTTGGTCTTGGATTCTTGATTTCAATTCTCACAACTGATGATTCCACTTGTGGAGGAGGACGGAAGTTATTCTTCCCCACCTTCATAATATGAGTGACGTTAGCCCACATTTGGACATTTGCTGACAATCTACAATACAATGCATCTCCCGGTCTTGCCAATAATCTCAATGCGAATTCTCGTTGAAACATCAATATAGATACTCTAGGAGGATTTGGTTGATTTAATAATTTAAACACCAAAGGACTGGAAATCTGATACGGAGTATTTGAAATACAAACATCAAAATATGGTAATTCAGTCTTCATGAAATCTCCCAACAAGATCTCGAGTTTCTTCTGTTGTGGAGTTCCATGAACTCTTTTGGTTAATTCTGCAGCCATACGAGGATCCATTTCTACTGCAATGACTTTTCTGGCTTGTTCGAGGATACGAACGGTTAAATTACCGGTACCGGGACCTACTTCCAATACGATATCACTAGGTTTGATACCGGCTTTGTCGACGATACCTTGGGCTACTAAAGGGTTCTTTAAGATATGTTGACCTAAATTGGTATTGAATTTGAAGACTGAGTTCAAATGCTTTTCGGCGGCAACTTTTGCTCCGGTTGGATTTGATGCAGTTGTGAACTTCTTATTAGCTGCTTTGCCCATATTTGATGTCTTTGTAGCTGGTAGGTATGATTTGAAATGAACTACTAGCTCATCGATTTGATTGATTTTATTTTTTTTCAATCAGAAAAGAAAAAAAAATTAAGCGATGTGATCGACGACATTCTGTAAATGTCGTTCGCTCTAAATGTCGTGCTTCTGAATTTGTTTCAGAATTTATTCGGTTGAAAGTTTAAATTTGTTTTGAGGTTTTAGAAACTTATGGTTTAATAAACTCCACTTTTTCCCATCGGGATTCTATCTATTTCTACCGAAATCGCTTGATCGTCTGCATCTTAAGTTTACTACCAATATATATCAAAGTCACCCACAAAAGATACGAACCACAATTGGCTATTCAATTGCAAAACCCTTGTTTCAGTAACCACAGAAACCTCACATAAAAACTTTGCAACAATAATGGAAATATGAATAGACGACTGATCCTACGAATACCAACAGCAAACCTATCGGATCTACTATCATCCGCTCCGAAGTTTTCCTTTTTTGACAAGTTAATTGATATCCCGGCACCACCGCCTTCCAGTTCAGCTTCTACAGGAAATCATAACAACTACAGCAGCAGCAACAACAACAATGTTATGATGAAGTTGGGACATCATGATATTTTCAAAATCAGCAAAATCGTGGAAGATATTCATTTATACCTAATTGACCTTTTACAGATCTTGCTGAATGTGTCCCAAGTTGGGAATATGCATGGATCTATGAATCTAGAATGGTATTTTGAAGGAAGTGAGCAAGTACTTGATTTATTGAGAAATATTGAGAGTATAGATTCAATAATATCGCAATTATTGGCAATTATTGAATCGAATGATCAATTGGAAGTGACAAATTTATTATTAAAGAAATTTGAAGAAGTTAGTGATGATTTATTGGAAGTTAAGAAATTCACAATTGTCTTAAAGAAGAATTTAGATATTGCAAAACAATATCACGAAATAAATCAAGGGATTATTAAATGCTTAACTCAAGAAATTGAGGATTGTATTAAATGTATATTCAAATTACGTGAAATGAAACTAACTAGTCCCAGAAGAGCTCTACCTAAATTCCAACTAAGTGAAATCATATCGAAAATGAGATTAAATGACATATCGGCCACTTCAACGGTATCAATACGATCAATTAGATTACCCACATTTAACGAGACCGATGAGAAATTATACAGCGAATATCTTGAAATCGAATCAAAGATAGGACCACTACGAATATCACTTCATGTTGTCCCTATCAAAATTGAAGAATTCAATACTATGTGTACAGGAAGAATATTTAATAAAGCCCGAGAAGAAGTTTTGAATAGTTATGAAAGGTTATTACAAAAATGGAATCACCTTCAACGAGAAATGAAATCTTTAAAACGAGAAAATCTCGATATTAAATGGAATGAAATCTTCCAATATTTAATGAATGAAATTATTAATAAATGTGATTGGATAATCGAAGAATTATCACCCTCAAAAAGTTCAGCATCTTCAGCTTCATCCACATCAACTAATTCATCTTCCATAACAGACGAAGTAGGAGTCGCCTATAAATTATGTTCAAATTCAATCACGCTCATAAACAAAGCCTTCAAAGAAGACGTCATCTCCGATCGGAGCTTATTAGATCTATTCAATGACGAACTCTTACCTAAATGGGAAGACGTCAATGAACTAATAGGACAAGCCAGAGGTTCATCATTTGCAGGCGCCACCCCGGCATCAGTAGCGCTTATGAAATCGCCCATAGCTTCAACCGGATTGAAGCTGTTCCGTACCGTCTCGAGGAATTCCGTGGATTTGACACTGGCGCAGCTATATCTGCAACCACAGCCGCAACTGCAACGTGAAAGTAAGTTGTTCAAGAATGGATTAGGGATAGATTTTGGGGTGGATGTCGAATCGATAAAATTCCCATTTAGTGTTGAGAAAAAGGATAGAGTTAAGGAACTTGGACTGATTAGATCTTCGGGTGGGAAAAGTGTACGAAATTCATTGTTGAATGTATTTGATGATATTGCATCGGAGTTGGAGGAGATTTCATTTGATGATTCTTTACGAATGGCAGGTTATGGTAACGGTAACGGCAATGGCGGCAATGGCGGTAGTGCAGGTGCCGGTACACGAGATGTTATGAAGTCTGAACAAAAGAGGGTTTCGTTTGATTTACAGACATATCTCAAACTTGTCCTAAGTTCAAGTGGGAATTTTGATTCTAGAATTCCGGAGATCTTTCCTAATTATATCCAATCGGGTTATCCCAAGATTGAGAAAAAGGTTGGTGGGATCTATGGAGCAAGTGGTATTCCTGAAATCAATCCAACTCATCCAGTATTCCAATCTCCAATAAAGAAGACCTTCCCGAGCTTTTTGGCGACAGATAATGAATCTACTTATTCATCTGAAAAGACTCACGTTGATCTTACTCCGCCAATGTCCAACCAGGCATTTCTTTCAAGCTTATCATTAAGTAATTCATCATTAGGTCTGATGGCAGCGCGACCGGCATCGTCACTTTTGAATGAGACTCAGACTCCAAATTTGTTGTTTGGAAGAAAATTGAATTATAATAGTACATCTCCTGAACGACCATTGTCATCATTAGGATCGAGATATGATGATGAACATTTGTTGCAATCGAAATCTGGTCCTATACGACGGCCCTCCTGGAAGTGAAGTTTTGTTTGAAAATTTCATTAAAATTCATTAAAATATAAATAGCAAGGGAGATATACAGGTTAGCGGTTTTATATACACATTAGTAGTAGCTCGTTATGTAGGGTAATACAAAAGTATGGGTTATTGATACTGTCTATTTCTCTGTAGTTGACGTAGTAGTACTGCTACTCTTCGGTGAGACTTTTTCTACAAATGGATCTTGGCCAAACAATTTAGTCAATATAGAACTTTGTTCCCTTTGTACAATTTCTTCTTCAGTAAAGTCACGAACTAGCTGTCCTTCTAGAATTTCACCCTTTTGAAGTTTTTTATGTGATCTACCTTGGAATCGATTAAATAATTCATAACTAGAGATTGCAAGCACTGGAATAGATAACAAGATCAAAAAGATAGCATTTGATCTTTGTTTAAGTTTAGGATCAGCGAGCTTCCATTCCGCTCTTCCAGTTTGTTTTAGATGATGTATGAATGGTGAATCTATAGTTCTGGCAGGGCCATTGGGGTCTGTTCTTGGAGGTGTTGGAGGTGGTGGTGTTATTTTGATAGTACTCCTACCTTCTTTATGGTGAAATGTTGGGTGTGGCGGTTGCTCTTGGTTGTTGTTACTTCCCCAGGGCATGATTCGTTTATAATATATACTTTTGGTTACTTTCTATGACTTGACAAGAAGAACTGGTTGGTGAAATGAATATCTCGTAAATTTTTTCAAAACTAAAAATAGAAAGTCGTGTACAATGATCAAATGTAACGTCTTTCTTGAATTTTTCAGATTTCAATTTCAACATTCAACTACCACATGGTTCTACTTTGAGTACACAGTATAAATAATACTATATAGTTATAGAATATTGAAGTCAGAATCTAACAATGTCACTCGAACAAACTTTATCAACCCAATTATCAAAGCATCCAAAACCACAAGGCTTAAAATTCACTTATGGTACAGCTGGATTCCGTACTAAAGCCGTAGACTTAGATTATGTCAATTATACAGTTGGGATTCTTGCCTCTCTCAGATCCAAATATCTCGGAGGTAAGACTGTTGGTGTCATGATCACTGCTTCTCACAACCCACCTGAAGATAACGGGGTTAAGGTTGTTGATCCTTTAGGATCAATGTTGGAAAGTTCTTGGGAGGCTTATGCTACCACATTGGCAAACTCAAGTCATGAAGAATTGTTAACCAATATTAATAAGCTCGTTGAAGAATTAAAGATTGATTTGGAAATTCAAGCCAAGATTGTGATTGCTAGAGACTCTAGAGAAAGTAGTGAACGTTTATCCAATGCTTCTATTGATGGATTTAAATCTGTTCCAAACACTACCTATCAAGATTATGGATTGTTTACTACACCTCAATTACATTATATCACTAGAACCTTGAACGATCCTAAGTTTGGTGAAGTCTCTGAAGAAGGGTATTATAAGAAAATGGCAGAATCATTCAAACAAATCTATAAACTTGCCGGAGGAAATGAAAAAATTGATATCACAATTGATTCTGCCAATGGGGTAGGTGCACCAAAAATCACCGAATTATTATCCAAATATTTATCAGAGGAAGTATCATTCAATGTTGTTAATGGAAACTATACCCATCCTGAATTATTAAATTTCCAATGTGGTGCTGATTTCGTGAAAACTGGTCAAAAATTACCCAAAAATGTTGAATCGCCAATCCCAAATAAATTATATGCATCCTTTGATGGTGACGCTGACAGATTGATCTGTTATTACATCGATCCTGAATTCAAATTATTGGATGGTGACAAATTATCCACCTTGATTGCATTATTCTTACAACAATTGTTTGAGAAGATCGACAGTAATAAATTATCCTTAAATATCGGGGTTGTTCAAACTGCTTATGCTAATGGATCATCGACCAAATATGTCGAAGATGTTTTAAAGATTCCTGTCCGTTGTACTCCAACTGGTGTCAAGCATTTACATCATGAAGCTGAAAACTTTGATATTGGTGTTTATTTCGAAGCCAATGGTCATGGTACTGTGATTTTCAACCCAGAAGCAGAAGCCAAGATTTTCAACTATAAACCAGATGAATCTAATTCTGAAGAAGTTAAGGCTATTAAAGTCTTACAAGAATTTAGTAAATTGATTAATCAAACTGTTGGAGATGCTATTTCTGATTTATTAGCTGTATTGATAATCGTTCATTACTTAAATTTAACTCCTGAAAGTTGGAATAAATCATATACTGACCTTCCTAACAAGTTGATTAAAGTAATTGTCCCAGATCGTACAATTTTCAAAACGACTAATGCAGAAAGAACATTGGTTGAACCAGTTGGTTTACAAGCTAAAATTGATCAATTGGTCGCATTGTATCCAAATGGTAGATCTTTTGTTAGGGCTTCCGGTACTGAAGACGCCGTAAGAGTCTATGCTGAAGCTGACACTAGATCAAATGTTGAAGCTTTATCTGCTGCTGTTGCTGAGTTGCTTAAATAGGCGATCTTGATTGGACAATTTGCCTGAGGGTTACCCGGAAGAGGTTTTTTTTTGCAGCCATATGCTAATATAGTACGAAAACTTTTATAGAGACATTCAAATAATTACTAATTTAATACTTCATGTAACTTATCTTAATCACTCATTAAAATTACTAATAGCTTAAGTGGTGAGTTTATCTGAAAGTTAGTTACTATGACTAATTAATAGAAGAACCTATAATCTCTACAGAAGACGCGTCGTTTGCAAAGTCTTACTTCAATTTCTCAATATCAGTATGTTCTCTATCAAAATCAATATCCTTTATACTGGTTTTCGGCATCCTTATGAATCAAGAACATCATAAACAGCAGGACTGATCAAGAACAACGCGTCCAAAACGAGAGAATTTCGCCCCCAGTGACCATAATTATAATTGAGAGATATAAATGATTGTTATGATGTGTGCCTACAGTTTTTTGGCTCAGAGCTCGTCAATTCCATAGATAAATATAGTGGCATATCATTACAGTGCTAAAAAATGCCGCTAGTCTATTTGATGGGGTGTTGAATGTCCCCATTGCTCATTTTCTCCTCTCTATATATAATTCCGATAATTATTTGCCAATGCTTAAACGGGTCAATATGTTAGGAATTGTCCAAAGTCCAGGATTGTTAAAATATTCCAGTCAAACCTAAGTTGAAACTCTTGCATGGAAGTCAATTTTTTGGTGAGACGAGACAACGCGATGTGTCGTCTGTAGTTAATAAGTTGCCTGAATATTCACAATTCCTGCCATTCGCGCTAAATCTATCTATTAGTGTCTTTATCATATTTATACACAAGCAAATCGAAAAAAATGATATGCAATTAGTCCCCATACGACACTCTCGGCCAATCTAATTGCCAATACCGTTTCATCTCATTCTATTATCAAAACCTCCCAAGCAGAAGAAATTTTATTCCTTTTCCAAGTGTCGAGATTGATCTCCTTTGAAAATCGATTGAATTGGCCATTTCTATGCCCTATTCCCCTCTATAATGAATCCGTTTGAACGTTCCTGGAGTTGTAAATTTTTTACCCAATTTCCATAATCCTCGTTTTAATTTTTTTGCTTTTGCTTCCAATTTCCTATACCATTCTTCATTACCACCAAACTCGGCCCCTGTTTTACCTTCATACACAATTGCATAACCCTGTTTCAACATCTCTGCAGAAACATCTTTCCTTCCCAACCAAGTCCAAATAGTAGCTCTCGCCACTACTCGTTTGTATTGATCAATTGAATATGGAGTTATAGTAACAAATCTTCCCAGAACATAGTTGCGTAACCACAACAATGCCTCTTCTGAAAATGGTTGTGCCGGATGTCCAAAATGTGCTCTTTCTGGAGCATCTACGCCACATAATCTGACCATCAATGTTTGATCTTTGAGACCTTTAATATCCTTGGGTATTTTACGTAACCATCCCCAACCTAACCAGAATCCACCTGGTGTATGATAGAATCTGAAATTGTCACCATCTCCTACTCGAGTGACAAATCCATATAATTTTGTTCTGTTTGTTATTATTGATTGGGAAATATCAAGGTAAGTTCTTACGCGCTTTACATAACGTTTATAGAATTTAATTGATAAGATTATTGATGTGGTTATTCCTGCAGATAATAATAATACTTTGGGATGCCATATGGAGATATCAGGATGTGGTGTTATTGGAACTGGAGGCATTTTTCGTGAAATTAGGAATGATAAAAATAGATGCTTAAACGATACATGGTGTATTTCTGGAATTTATTTTTTTGATTTGATTTGATTTTGGATCACAGCAAAATTTATTTTTTTGCTGTTTGTTAAAGTTTCATTAATTATGTCATTCAATTATAACATCAACGTACTTTAATATGTAACCGATGAATCATTTGTATTTGAAATATATTCTTGAATATTAAAATATTTAAGCCTTTTACGGTGATATTTAACGAAGTATATGAAACAGAATGACAAAGTTTCTAGGAATTGTCATCGACTAACATTTGAAATTATGATGAATCGCCCAGTTTTACACACTGATGAATCTAGTTAATGTGCGGGTAACATTTTGATGATAAAACCGTATGGGTAGCGCTGTAAAGTAATTCTCTTGTGTCTAAATAGAATTTTGCTAATGAAATGGGTAAAATATCCAATTTTTGAAACCAAACAAATATAATTCCGCTGACATTAATATAAGACTAGTGAAAGGTCTATCTGTTTCTTCTATTTCGAGTTCTATTGGATATATAAATATACGCTTTTATTCAAATGTGTTTTCAATTAGTTTTCTCTAGTTATCCCGGTGAGGTCAAATCTTGAAGTCAGAGTACCCAGTAACAACAACGTCGTCCATAATCGAGCGTTCCCCAAATCAGCTTCTATTACCTTTGATGGATTTGATGATAGTGTGAATATTTTCGTCTCCTTGCAAATGTCAAGGCAGGTTATAGTACGAGGATCAGACAGCAGAGCCTCTAGATTAATGTTGAAAAGAGATGATTCCCGTAAGGATGCGAAAGTAGCGGTATTCACTACTATGGTAAATAGAATCCTCCGCCAAAGCACCGAGGCCAGGAAAAGGAACTTGTATATTCCTAATTATGTTGTGATGCCGTTGGCCGAAGACAAGGGTGTTAACATTGGGGAGTGCGTCCAAGCCTAGACCTAAGCTTAAAATAGATTTAAAACTTAAAGTAGAAGACGATGATGCGGAGGGATGGGGAGACGGCTCGTAGTTTATAGAGGTGAGTCAAGTCGTATTGTATCAGTTTAATATATGAATATTTCTAAAGATGATAAAAAACAGGAAAGGGCAAGTCTTTAGAATTTGCAAAATGTAGATTTCTCGGAGGAGGTTTGCTAAGGCACAAAACTTCTGTTTATCTTGCGATTTAGATAGCGGCCGTGGCTCGTTAGTGATCGCCATTTCATTCTACAATAGTTCTATTGTGTAAACAGAACAATTGAAAGCCTGCTTTAGCAGCCACACAAAAGAGGAGACGCGCTTGTTTGCAGCAATTGTATTGCGCTTCTCAGTTCGGCTGGATGTCACAAAGAAACTGATATAGATACTGAGCCTCTATTACTTCCGGATAAGTGCGCGCAAAATAAGTTTCAAAATCTGAACTACGGTTCAACGTTGTCCCATCTCCATTGCATATTTTGGCGTGGATGCTTATCGCATCATCCGGCTTATCTGTGAGAAAATCGTGTTGCTCTTAGATGCGCTACGGGTAAAATGTCTTCTTGTAAAAGTGATAAAATTTGACTAATGGGAATAGCGTTGAAATAGACTTTGAAATTTATTAATTGATGTTCGCTTAAATTACTCTTGAGAAAATCTTCTTTCTAAGCGCATTGTTAACCCGAGTAGTCATGCATCCAAAGAACAATGGAGTGGATATCTATGTGAGAGTGGTACACAATTTAGATAACTTCCTACATGATGTATGCCTGTCTGAGTCGACCGGGTTTATAACAATCACACAGACAACCCTTGACTTTAATTCCTCGGGTTTTTTTGGGTTTTTTTCTTATTATGCAGACAAGGCAATTATGGCTGCAAACCTATGGTCTGTCCAATTGAGGGATGCAAGCCAAAATTATGGACCAATCAATAAGCCTAGTGTGGTGGTTCCTATAGCTTCGGGAAGTTAGGACAATTGGCTTGACCTTGAACTATCGTTAATTCTTGCTGCCTCAGAAATCAGAGTTGCAAGATGAGTCAAGTTTATGCATCCGGCTTTTGCCTTATTCCATCAATTTCAAGTTGCTACTATCAAAACCAATAATCCACTTTACTAGACAATTGTTCACAATTGGACGAATTAAGATAAATAAAGTTGTGGCTTGGGGTATCAGT